CGTGTTATCATAAGGAAATATCCACTCCCAAGCAAATGTAGTTAGTGGGGTTACAACTCTAATATGAGTACTATACTTTGTTGTTTATATTACTACATACTTTAATTTGTAATACTTCAAATGTTACCTATAAATCGTAATTGTTATGCCTTGTACAGTATTGGTTAAAGTTTAATCAAACAAGAAATAAGATTATATTAGATAAAAAAAAAAAATTAAATAAAAAATCATATTTGCTTGTCTTGATTTGTTTTCTAACTTTTTACATAAATAAATCTTTTTTGTATATATCAAACTCATTTTTAAGCTAGGTTTGTTGATGAAAAATTTACTCCAACTTTTATTTTTCTGAATGCAACATTGCAAAATTGTCCAAATGTTACATAAGATATCATTAACTAATTCGTTTGTAATGCTAGTTGTATAGAAGTCAAAATGTGACCACAAAAATAATGGAAGAACTGTATAACATACTACCTCCGTTAACAGTTATTTGCAACGATTAGACATTTTTCCTCTCTACTTTATGTCAAATCGTTGTAAATAACTGTTAACGGAGGTAGTATCTCTATATCTATCTAACTTTATCTACCAGGCTATGAATGACAAAATCCATTTTTGAATAATGGTTGCAAAAGTAAAATGAAATGAAAGATGAATATATATGTAGTGCTTCTTCCAGTAATAAGCACGCACAGTAAGTATAAATATATATACACGAGATTTAAACCCATGCGATGCACAGGTTTTATTTATAGTTAAACTTAACATTTAATATTTAATCAAAATAACAAAATATTAATACATAATATTACTATTTTTTTAACCTTATACAATTAAGGTTCACACATATACAAACAAATTTTAAATTTTCCACGCTTCCATCATCCTTTGTAAATCAATTGTTGATCGTACCAGGCCAGTTGATAAGTTGCGTAATTAAACCCACCCCCTTGAATTGCAAAATTAACATCTTTGCAAAATTAACACTTATGAGTTATGACTGACTTCTTAATTATGATCACTGTTCATCGCATTCGAGAATTTCATGATGTTCAAATTCTAAAACATGCTTCTTTGCCTGCAAAAGTTTTACGTTTATTTGTTTGGAACATTAGATTATATAGGATTGAAAAAATACTGATTTAAAGTGGTGATAAAGTTTATTAGATATGATAAATTTTATTAACGTAGAACTTAATCTTTTAGTCAATTAAATGATAAATGATAAACATTTTTTTTTGTTGGAAAAAGAGAAAGGATATATTTTTATAGTATCAATGATTTTTTTCTTATTTTTTATAATTGAACATGATTTCATATTTTTTTATTAGTGTTTTTTGAAAAAAATATTTTATTATAATCACTCCTCATTTCATTATTTTTTTTAACTAATCCAATTTTTTTTAAAAAAAAATCAATTGAACGTGAATTTCATTTTTTAAGTTTAATAGTATTTTTGTATATATATGAAATAAAATAAATTGTTTATTTTCTCTTAGATAAAATTTTCAATTTTAAAAGATAATATTTTTTTTATAATAAATTTAAACCTTAATTTAATTTTAGTCCTACGTGGCGCTATAAAATAATAATCCTACGTGGCATAATTCTATACGTAACGTTCTAAATATACTAATCCTACATGGCGCTCTAATAATTTTTAAAAATTTAAAATCCTACGTGGCTCTTTAAAATCTTGGGAAAAAACTCCCCTTTATATATATACTAGTTTTGTGCCCGGGCGATGCCCGGATTGTTGATAAAATTTTAGGATAAAACTTTTGGCTTAAATATTTATTAATACGGTCATGTGATCCCTTTTGATAATGTAGGATATTTAGACATACGATATCATATGGCTTATATTTATATAATAATACTTTTTGTAGTTTTGTTTGTAGATAGATATCTATGTTATTATTTACTTGAAATTATTTTTAATGAACTTAAATTATTTTTACTGAAAATTAATTTTACTGATTAAAACTTATTTTTACTGATTCTTTAATATTTTTTAAAATAAATTAAATAACAATGCATTTTGTATGCGGCTAGCCACACCATCTAGTCGAACATAGTAACCCCTATAAAACTGACCGAGTAACTCATGTAATACTAACCGAGTAGCCTCTAACATTGACTAAGTAACCCCTATCTATAACACTGATTGAGTAACTAATATAACACTGATCAAGTAACCCCTATAGCACTAACGAAGTAACTATTGTAATAGTTGGTGACACGGTTTGGCCAGCTACGTATAAAAGTTTGTTATTAAATATATTATAAATGGATCTTATTTTAAATAACTTTTAAAACGAATTTGATGATGGAAATAGAATTGAGTTATAGGATATTTATTAAAAGTTAGGATTAATTTTGTATATATGAAATATTAGAATTCTATCGATAATAAAACTCTAAACAACAACTTTATCTTAAAAATCTATCCAAAAATCGCTTACTTAGCATCATATGTGTCACAATAATACCTATTTATCTCCTACGTGGCGCGACACTTGGCAAAAAACTAGAATGCCAGGTGTCGTTGTCTCGTGGCCTGGCTACGAGACCGACTTTATATATTAGTGACTACTTTTGTGCACGGGCGACGCCCAAATGGTTGATAAAATATTAAGATAACATTTTTACTTGAATGTTAAATACGGTCAAATAATTTGTTTTGATAATGTAGGATTTTTAGATTTACAGTATCATATGGAGTGTACTTTGTGTAATTTTGTTTGTAAATAGATATCTACGTTATTATTGACTCGAAATTATTTTTATTGAACTTAAAATATTTTCAATAAACTAAAAGTATTTTCCCAAATTAAAATTATTTTTGATTAAAAATTATTTTACTGATTATCTATATTTTTAAATAAATTAAATAACAATGCATTTTGTTTGCGGCTAACCACACCAACTGACCGGACAAAGTAACCCCTATAAAACCGATCGAGTAACCCCTATAATACTAACTGAGTAACCACTAACACTGACTAAATAACCCTATCTATAACACTGATTGAGTAACCACTATAACACTGACCAAGTAACCCCTATAGCACTAACAAAGTAACCACTTATAATGTAATCCACTATAGTATAAAAGTCTGTGATTAGATATATTATAAATGAATCTTATTTTAAAGAACTTTTTAAAACAAATTTGATGATGGAAATAGAATTGAGTTATAGGATATTTATTAAAAGTTATGATTAATTTTGCATATATAAAATATTAGAATTTAATCGATAATAAAACTCTATACAACAATTTTATCTTAAAAAATATATCCAAAAATTGCTTAATTAGCATCATATGTTCTACATGGCGCAACACTTGACGAAAAACTGGAATGCGCTGTCTCGTGGCCTGGTTGCGAAACCGACTTTATTTATTAGTGACTGGTTTTGTGCCTCGGGCAATGCCCAGGTTGTTTAGGCAAATTTTTATATGTGACTGGCCATACCGTGTGGCAGGGGTACTTGGTCAGAGGTTATTTAAGGGGTTCGGTCAAGGGTTACTCGATCAAAGGTTACTCGAGGGGTTACTCGGTCATGGGTTACTCGAGTTACTTAGTCAGGGGTTACTAGTTACTTAAGGGTTCGGTTAGGGGTTTACTCGGTCATGAATAACTCAAGTAACTCCTGACCGAGTAACTCGAGTAACCCCGGCTACACGGTGTGGCCAGCCACATATAGAAAAATCCCCTAGTTGTTTATTGAGTTTTAGGATAAACCTTTTGGCTTGAATGTTAAATACGATCATATAATCATTTTTGATAATGCAGGATATTTAGGCATGTGATATCATACTTATATTATTTTTACTAAACTGAAAGTATTTTTACAGGTTAAAACTTATTTTTACTAATTCTCTATAATTTTAAATATGTTATAAATGGATCTTATTGTAAAAAACTTTTTAAAACGAAATTTTTACGATGGAAATAGAACAGAGTTATAGGATATTTATTAATTTTGTTTATATAAAATATTAATAATAAAACTCTATACAACAATTTTATCTTAAAAAATCTATCCAAAAATTGCTTACTTTTTTTTTTTTTTTTTTTACGGGCAAAAATTGCTTACTTAGTATCATATGTGTCACAATAATACTTATTTTTCGCCTACGTGGCGCAACACTTGGCGAAAAATTGGAATGTCAAGTTTCGCTGTCTCGTGACCTGACTGCGAGACCGGGTTTATTTATTAGTGATATATATATGATATGATATGATATGATATTAGATCAGATTGATATGTAGGTTTATTTATTAGTGATATATATTATGAGGAATAAGATATGATCACCACCGTACCATATGCATAAATTTGTCCTATATTTATAAGTACGTTAAATCTCCCTTTTGGTATATTATGTAAATCCTTTAATGAATTGAAGTGGTGAATTTTCCTGAGTTTTTTAGGAGTTTTGGTCCTTATGGCTTGGTGAGAGGGAGCCAGTGAGGCAGCTGCTACTTGTCTTCTTCTTTCTGTGTTTACATACGTCATGACAAACTTCACCGACCTTTGCTAGCTAGCTTTCCCTTTCCTCTACCGCCTCTTTAACTTTGATCTCTTCCTTTCCTTTCCTTTCCTTTGCCATGCAATTCTTTCTTTCTTTTCTTTGGTCCTATACTCTCATCTTTGTTACCGTACCCCTTGGTTCTTGCTTAGCAATTTGCGGTCCAGACACTTAAAAGTAACAGAATTCTCACTTATATTAAAGATATGTATTTCTTACCCATTCGAGGTAACTTTTGAGATCAAGTGGGTCAATTATGCTCGCCGGTAAATGTTTAAGTACGTCGGAATTTCTGTAGTACTCTGTATATCATAAGGTTTTTTTAAAAAAAAAAAAGAAAAACCAACTTTCATGCCAAGAAAAAATTAAAAGTCATTATTTATCAAACATGTTTATATAATTATATATACAACCAAATGAAATAATGCAATAGTCGAAAAAGACTATTCAAAAATTGAGTAGATATTGTTTATTAAGTAGGGTTAGGTCTTAAACTTTGTTCTATTCGACTTATATTGTGTATAAAATAATGCAATAGTCGAAAAAGACTATTAAAAAATCGAGTAGATATTATTTATTAAATAGGGTTGGATTTTAAGTTTTGTCCAACTCATGTCGTGTAAAGCACTTACTTTGTTTGAAATAACTAAAAAAAAAATTGAACTAAAGAGAACTAAACATAAACTTCCATATAATACAATTTTATTCTCCACATACTAATTAAACCCCTGTCTTCACCTATATAAATACTACCTGAGCCTTTTCCCATACATCACTCCCAACCATACATTCACATGCTTTTAACTTTGTCTTCACTACTACTATAAGAACTCCTACAACTAACAAACACTACAACAAATAAAATCAACTCCATAATATAAATTTCTAGGCTTATCTTTTTACCCTTTCAATTTGCTTTATTTCAACCAGGATAGATGATGATTATGTTAGTGCTACTAGTGCAGTTTTTGATTAGTGTTTGTAACGGAGAAAGCTTTGATCAAGATTTTAAGATAACATGGGGAAATGATAGAGGAAAGATTATCAATAATGGACAACTTTTAACTCTAACTCTTGATAATCTTTCAGGTTCTGGTTTTGAATCTAATAAGGAGTTTCACTTTGGTAAGATTGATATGCAAATCAAGCTCGTCCCTGGCAACTCTGCTGGAACTGTCACCGCGTATTATGTAATTACATATACTTAACGTTAAAAATATTCTTTTATTGCAAATAATAAGAAACGAAAGTATTACTACTAAATTTTTTTCTTGTTTGCACTCAGTGAACTAACTTTGTGTCTATATTTTTATGTCAACTAAATTATCACTATGAGCGATATTTAATTAATAATTATGCGTGTTTTGTTTCTTAGCTATCGTCTCAAGGAGATACTCATGATGAGATTGATTATGAATTCCTTGGGAACGTGACGGGTGAACCTTACACCGTGCACACCAATGTATATGCTGAAGGGAAAGGGGAAAGAGAGCAGCAATTTCACCTTTGGTTCGACCCAACTTCTGATTTTCACACTTACTCCATCCTTTGGAATCCCCAAACTATCATGTAAGAAGTTCATTACTCCTTTATTATACTCGTTCTTTTTCATGTTAATTCCATAAAGTTGGTAGTTGATATCGGTAGGATAAATATTTTGTGAGTTTAAGTAGTAGAATCGTGGTAGAGTAGTAGATAAAGTTGTTATTTGTAGGGTGAGAATTATTCTCATTTTAATTTTATATTTCGTATAATTGTAATATTATCAAGTTGTTAGACACCTTAAAAGCTTGGTTTAGTGGTAAGGATTGAGTCTTTCAATCTTGAGGTTGGGAATTCAATTGAGGGTAGAAATTTCACTTAACCTTTCTCCTATTCTCAAGGTGTCTAGCCCGTAAATTTAGACCTGTGAGAGATTCCGATCTGATAGGGCAGTTCACCATACCTATAAAAAAAAATATATTACAAGTTGATAGGTTCCAATTTTAAGCCAAAAATGTAAATATGGTCATTGGTCATTACAGAAATTATACACGAAGCACTATACGGAGCACAAGTTATTACAAATATTGATTATACTTTCTTGGGCCAGGCCATATTGAGACAGATTGTTGGGCCTTAGCTTAAGTCCTGTCTTTGATTGTGTGGGGGTCTCACATAACTGTGTCCTCATAGAAATTTGATGTAAAGTTTACATTTTAGACGATTGTAACTTGAAAAGATAAAAACAGAAGGTAGATTTTGTGAAGTATTTGGAGTGGACTCTAAGACGAAATTCATCACTGCTTTTTTATGACTCTTTTAACACGGGAAAGAATATTATTGTACATCTTTTGGCAATCAAATAAAAATCACTTAAAGATAACATTGGATTGAAACTTAAAGTATTTCTGAGTTTTGTTTTTCCAAATATGATTGTAGATTTGCCATAGATGAGATACCCATAAGAGAATTCAAGAATAGAGAACAAATGGGCATCCCATTCCCAAAGACTCATGCAATGAGACTCTACTCGAGCATATGGAATGCTGATCAATGGGCAACTCAAGGAGGCCGGATCAAAACCGACTGGAGCCAAGCTCCGTTTAGTTCAACCTACAAGAATTTTAAGGCCGAAGCTTGTGTTAGGTTCGGTGGAACAACATCTTGCCATCCTCAAACCGTTAACTGGATGACACGGAAGCTTGATGGTTCGAGCATAGATAGGCTTAATTGGGTGAGGAAGAACTTCATGATTTATAACTATTGCATTGATAACAAGAGGTTCCCTCAAGGCCTTCCTAAGGAATGTAACGCCATCGACTAAGTAAATAAAATCAATACCATATAATAGTATGTTAATTTCATTTTCTTGTGTTTCTCTTTAATTTTAAGGTTAATATAAATATGTTGTTTAGTATGGTAGATCTGGTACATCGTTGTTGTAAAGGGTTAACATGCATGCAAAGTAATAAGTTTAACCCTTTTGCAATTTTAGTTTGTATTTAGTGATGATCAATGAAGACATAGTTAGTTATCTAAGCTATCATCTTCAGTATATCTCAACTTGCAAGAATTGCAACAATAGCATTTTAGTTTAAACATCACTAGCTAACACGAACATAGAGTAAGGTATATCGAGTGCACTTCAATTCTACTCATAAATAATACGAAGTACTCGTACTATCTTTTTCTTTTCCTATTCATATGATTAAAGTAACCTATTTTTCCATGGCGTCTCCTATCCTTTGATCTCATCCCACTCTCCTTCATCATACATCCCCATCCTCCATCATGGTTGCTTAGGAGGCACCACCCAACAACTCATTAAAACTCAACTTCGACAGTTCAATTCTCAACAACTCTGTAGCAGCGACAGAAATCATCATTAGAGACAACACTGGGATAGTTATTGGAGCGCGCACTTTCAATCTCGGCAATACCAAGGTTTTCATAGCAGAAAAGCTACTTCACTTCACAAAGGCATTCTTCTAGCTCTGGAGAAAAGGATCAAGAATATTCACATCGAAGGTGATAATTTGCTAGTCATCAACTCAGTTATAGGTACTTGGTCGATTCCATGTATGGCAGATCGAGCATATCATTACAGACATACGCTACCTTCTTAGCAAATTCGACAATTGGAACATTCGGCATATTTATCGAGAGATAAATAGAGCAGCAGACTGGGTTGTTAATGTGGGTCATTTAGTTATTGATAGTATGGACATTAGTCTGTGTAACAACTCTTCTTTAATTCCTATCCTCTCTTCAGACGCATTAGGAATTCCCTTTGTGCGGAGGGTTCGTTTCCTAATGTTTCCTCTTTTTCTTACCTTATTATAATAATAATAATAATAATAATAAAAAAGTAAAAAAGTATTAGATCATTTATTATGAGTAAACTTGTTTAGTTATTGATATTTGATATTTCACTAGGTTTAACCAACTAATTGTATTTTATGTTTGTAAAGATGTTTTATATGTATGTCCAACCTCAGATTTATCTTTCTGCAAACACGACAAACTATGCTTAGTACGGTAAAATTAGGTGGTAACATAACTTTATAAAATACTTAGCAAGTATTTATAGATGAAGGTGCATTACAATGTTCCTCATGAAAGAAGTATTTACAATACACATCATGACAAAAAGTTTATCACAAAATTACTTTTGTACAATCAAATAGTAATTAGTCTAGTGATAAGAATTGTAAAAGAGTGGGTATTTTCATACAAACCCTGTTCTCTGTTATTAAGAATAAGAGGTCTTGGCTACTAATTTAAACTAAGTTGATCTGTGTGAGATTTCAATATGATGGAAAGCCTTCTCACTCAAAAAAAAAAAAAAAAAAAAAAAAAAAAAAAAAAAAACTAAACTTTTTTACTAAATTAAAATAGTCAAATCAAGCCAGTCACTCCCTCATAAATAGTAGTAGTTAATTAACATTTAACTAGTTGTATTGACTTCTCACCTAATGTAATGGATAAACTTTGAGCATACATGTAACACGAATACACGGCAATTAAAAGGATGTTAAGAATGAAGTTCAATGTAAGAAAAGAAAGCAGGCTTCCTACTTTCTAGAATCATAACAAAGGTCCATTCATAGAAACTCAATTGATTTTCCCTCATAATTATGCTCTGCACTCTATTATAGTTTCTGATATCTACGTGTGAAAGGCATAAATCAACATTATTGGATAGGTCACGTTTAAAAAGATTTATCATATTTTTCTTTCTAGTTTATCCATTTAAATTTGTCTTATATTGGAAATAGACACGATTACACGATATGCCGCTACATGAACATGACTAGCTACATCCATGCATTTAGAGTTGTTTTGTTAGCATAGAAGTATGTTGATAGGTGCATAATAGCCAAATTAAGCCTTCAAATTTAAGCTAAGAAAAAAAAAATTATTTATTGTACTAACATGAACGTAGTAAGAGTTTTAAGAAAAAATTTGAATAAATTAGCATGAGCTACATGACATTCACATTACCAACGATGGATTTAATAACAATACAATTGTCTATCTTGATTTCAAGCTTTGTGAATTGTAGCCATCCTAATTAAAGTGCTTTGAGTAAACTATACTTGAGTCATAATTTTTGCAAATAAAGGAGATGTATCAAGACTTAAGAGTGTAGATGGAATCAGGGAAAAAATCACCGTATTAAGATAAATATAATTATTAAATTTTATTAAATTATTGACAAATAGTATTTCATACTCTGTATTTATTAAAACCTTTAGCAACTAATTTATCTCTTTTGGTAATTTTTATTTTTATTTTTTAATAGGGAAAGAAAAGCAAGGCTATTTCCTTAAACAAAGATTATTATCACATAAATTACACACGCATGAGACATATATATAGTCACTTAATTCCTAAATGTCATTGTTTTAACTAACCATTATATGATCGATACTTCTTGCATCATCAATCGCTTTAGCACCAACCACGCATGACTAGTTTTATATTTGAGTCTCAAATTGAAAATAATAAAAACCAAATACTACTTTCCATTGGAATATTTAAAATCGTCAAATTTAACTTTGTAGAATCCTTAGGATGAAGTTCTTACACGCCATTTTATTCTTCAACGTTACAACGTAATCTTGTCCTTATGAACTACTAGTAGTGATCCGCATAGGAATTTCAATGAAATAGGTTATCTCTATCAACAAACTTGGAAAAACTCCATTACTACCTTTCCAAGCATGCCTTACTAATTTGCCAAACCAATTGTCCAATCAATAAGTTCTATTGTTAAAAAATTTCTGTTCACACACACACATTAGATTATCTCATTTTCTCATTCTAGCAATATATATATATATATAATATATATATATATATATATATATATAGGAACAAGTCAATGAAAAATAAGAACGAGAAAAGCAATAAAGAAGATAAACAAAGAATATAAGGATTTACGTGGTTCGGTTAAATTAGACCTACATCCACGGGTGGGGGATTCGAGAGCTTCTTCACTATAATGGAGAAAAGAGCGAGAGAATAATACAAGGAGTACTAAATCTAATGGCTCAAAAGGTATGATCTAATTGATCAACTAAAGGGTCCTTTTATAACATAAGAAAACCCTAAAGTGTTCCCCATGTATAATCAAATAGCCGTCATAGAAAAGATAGAATTTTAGGAAATATTCCATAAATTATCCTAGAATGACCGAAATTGCCGAGCTATACCTCAGCAACTAGCTCAAGCCTATCGCAAGTCTTTATAGGGCCGAGCTATAGCTCGCAACCTTGTCGCAACTTTTCAGTTTCGTCAAACGGCCATAACTTTCTCGTTTCTTATCAGAATTGAGCATATGACCTATTGTTGGAAAACTTCCAACTTGAATCACCTCAAAATCACTTGTAGTTTAAGAGATATCTGCATTCAAAGTCAACCTTACGAGATTTCGAGTCACAATTTAACAATATATATCATAATATAGAGTAATATTTACCAATTAAAAAGATAATTAAAAAGGTCCCGTTAATTTGGTTCGTTCATAGGTTAAGCTAAGTTCTAATAAGCTAAAGAATTTCAAATCATAAGTTAAGAAAATTTCATATAAGTTTAGATAAAATAAGTTTAGATAACTACAGATAAAATAAGTTTTCTCTTCTGATGTGATAGTTTAGTTAAGACTATTTCAAATAAATCGATTAAACAATTGAGCAAAGATTTTTATAATTTCAGACAGAATAATATAAATTAATCAAACCGAGCGTGAGATTAATTTTTCTCTCTTTACGAGCGTGTTTACTAATTTTAGTAAGTACACTCAAAAGTCAAAGGTGAAAAATGACCAAACTACCCTTACATGACGTAATGCAAGCAAGCATAAACCTTCCTCAGAAAGGGACTTGTATGTCTTGTCCCGTGGGAGTGTGGGACAAACACCAACACCGCGTCTCAGCTCGCCTAATCTAATAACCAATACTTGTCAACTCTCGTCACCTTCTCTAGACGCCATGCCATTAATAAAATTTAACAAATTCAAAGCTCACCAACATTTCTATTTATATTTTCCACCCCTTTTTCATGCTTTTTATTTCTTTTCAAATACAATATTATTACTCGTATTAATATTTAGTGCCCCATGCAAAGGCAACAGCTGTTTTTCAGTAATTTGAACCTTCTTTGCTACGTTCTTTAATCTTTACTAGTCAATTAGTCGCCCGCCCTTATCTTTTGACCTTTCATATTTGCCCTATAAATATCCTTTCCATGCACATTTTTATAGCATCATCAAATCATATTAAAGTCTTATTATAACCTTCTTCGATCAATTCTACCAAACATATTATACTATCATACTTGTATACACTTCCTAGCTATGGCTTCCCACTCCATCTTTTTTAGTGTTCTTCTAGTTGCTTCTTTGATTGCCGTGGCCTCGGCCGGTAGTTTGAACGAGAATTTCGACATCACTTGGGGTGACGGTCGTGCCCAATTCCTAAACAATGGCCAACTTCTTTCCCTCACCCTTGACAAAACCTCTGGCTCGGGTTTTCAATCTAAGAACGAGTACCTCTTTGGAAAAATCGATATGCAAATTAAACTTGTTCCGGGTAATTCTGCTGGCACCGTGACCGCTTATTATGTAAGTACATCTGTACATGTTACTAGCTTAGCTAGTCATTTATTTTTCTTATTTTCAATCCGTTAAAATTAATTACCATCATGCATATATTATGAAGATAAAAATTTGCTGACAATTTCTTTAATGTTGAATTTGCAGTTATCTTCAGAAGGACCTACCCATGATGAGATAGACTTTGAATTCTTGGGTAATGTCACTGGTCAGCCTTATACTCTTCATACCAATGTTTTTAGCCAAGGCAAAGGTGGACGTGAACAACAATTCCGCCTTTGGTTCGACCCTACTACTGATTTCCACACTTATTCCATCCTCTGGAACCCCCAAAGGATTGTGTAAGTACACTAATTCATACTCCCTCTATCCGAAATTAATAACTGTCATATTAGACCTGCATTGTTATTTTAAACTAGTAACATGACAACTAAATTCAGGCGTACTAAACTTTATGTTAAATTTTTTGTTACAGATTTTCAGTGGATGGTACACCCATCAGAGAATTCAGGAACTTAGAATCAATGGGAATTCCATTCCCAAAGAACCAACCAATGAGGATATACTCGAGTCTATGGGACGCCGAAGATTGGGCAACACAAGGAGGAAGAATCAAGACAGACTGGAGCAAGGCTCCTTTCAAGGCATCATACAGGAACTTCAATGCTGATGCATGTGTTTCGAGGAACGGTCGATCTTCCTGCACCTCTGCCTCTCCCTGGATGAACCAGCAGCTCGACGCCACCGGCCAAAGTAGAATGCGATGGGTGCAGAAGAACTACATGATTTACAATTACTGCACTGATTTACAAAGGTTTCCTCAGGGTTTGCCTAAAGAGTGTACTGTCACACTGTCTTAAGCTTCAGAAAAAATATGTTCTGTTTTGCTTTGCAAGTTTTGCTGTAGTAATTTTTTTATTTGTTGAGTTTTGGGTTCTTATTATGTAATAGTGATTCGTTTATTGTACAAAGTCACATATTTCATTTTAGTCAAGTTGTAATAAGGAAGTTGTTTTTCTTTTATTGAATTTGAATCAAATAATACATTATCAGTTGATTTATTACTAGCCTCATTTTAAAATTAATAGTCACATTTTCACATAGTCGATACTTGATATCAAACCCTCATACATAAAGTTGTATTCAACTGTATAAATTTACTAAAAGATGTTAACAAATAGTTGGATTATTCTTATATTTTTCAACTTTTAACTTATAAGAGGGAGTATTATTCACGCACTCTTGATATTGTACAAAAATTGTATGCGTGACTATTATTTCCTTCTAAGGTGACTACGTGACGACACTCGACACCCTTTTAGATTCAAATAGTGTTCAGAGAATTGAATCGATCAAAATAAAAAGTAGTCGTAGTAGGAGATCAAATTGTGGACGAAAGAGACACCTAAAAAGCAATAGTGAGCAAATAGAAGATCCTTGAAGGTTCTTCACGGCATCCAGCTGTCTAAGGAACAATTCTTGTTCATGTACAATTTATTCAACTCCTAAAAAGAGCTTATAATTCTTACTCTAGATTTTCCTGTTTTATACGAGTACAATTATTCCAAATTTCAAAGCATACTTATAGTATTCTTTAATATGGACAATCAATACTGTGAGCGTCTCTAGAACTATTGAGCATTCAATGAATCAATGGTACTAAATCATAAGGTGTCAACTCTACAGTGATATAATACTTTTTCGAATTATTATGGACATTCATGTTTGCTCTTTTATAAAAAATGATTACAAAAATTATATAAAAAAGAATAAGCTAATGAGACTGTCTCCTATAAGTTTATGCTGCTAAATTCACGAGTTGTTTTTTCCTAGTTTTGGTAGGAATTTTCATTTGAAACCTTAAAATGGTTTCTACAACTTCTTAACACCAATAATATAAAAATATGTTCTATTTTTCACTAATTTTGGGCTCTTTACAGCTAATAATCGGAATTTTCCACATATATATTGTGTGTACATCTTTTCATTTTTATTGTATTGTCCCTTTACAACTATTAATCGAGTATTGCATATTAATTGTACGGTGCATTGTATGTGTGTTTTGCATCTAATGTAGCACAAAGAACTTGTTGAGAAATCTGTCATTCTTATGATTCATTAGAAATGAATAAACGGAAGTGAACATACTTTTAGCTTTCTAATTATTTTTTTTTATTTTTTTTCTCTTTTTAAGAAACAATTTGATTCATTAGAACATGTCATACGACATCTGAAAAAAAAAAAAAAAAAAAAACCTTCAATGTAACTTTTTGTTTTTTTTTGAACGATAAAATACTTCAATGTAACTAATGACAAGCATCCTACTAATTCATTAATCCACATTTGCATGCCTATGTTAAATAATAGGGGGTTTTGAGAAGTGAAAATATTGCTTGCTTCTCAAGTTTTCATACCCGATACATTCAATTCTAGTATTCAACCTACTTCATTCCAACATACAAGTATAGATTATATTATCCAAATACTCCCTTTATATCATTTCTACTCATTCCAATTTCCACTAATTCATTGCCATGTGTAAAATGAGGCAATGATCCCTACAAAATAAAATTTGCAATTTCTCCATTATGCCCAATTGCACATATACCCCCACACGGTTACATCCAATCCAGTAAGAAATTGATTAAAATTTTCTTTTCTTTTTCTTTTTTTTTTTGTTTCAATAAAACCTTATTTGATACTAATCACTAATCAATAAAAAAAAATAATTAAAAACAAACCCACCCCACTACTTACTACTAATATAATTTGATGAATACAAAATGAACAAAAGAAAATGGAGGGTCTATTTTTTTTTTTTAAATTTTTTTTTTTTAAAGGTAAAATGAATGATCATATTGAATCAACACCTCTCATAAGTTAAGTCAGCTCATCTTTGCAGGTCAATGCTTGAGAGTAGGGGGGGTAAGGGAATTTCCCTACTCTCAAGCAAAAGTAGTTGGTGGGGCTCGAATTTTTTACCTCAAAGTTACAAGCTAGGTCAGTTTAGGGTTTAATTTATTGATCTTCATTTGCATGCCTATGTATAATAACTATGAGAAAGTGGGGGATTTAGAATTGAAAATAAAAAGGCTTGCTTCTCATGTTTTCATACCAAAGAAATAAATTTCAACATATTTCATTTCCACTCATAGACCGATTACAATATTAAAATACTCCCTAATTATTATTATACTCGTATATACTCACTACGTACTTCACTAGTACTCCGATCTTGTTCCCACTAATCCATCGCCATGTGTAAAATGAGCTAATGAACAAAAAAAAAAAAAATTGTTGAGTCCTACATTTCACCCAAAAAAAAAAAAAAACCATTGAGCCCTACAAAACAATTTGTAAATTTCTTTGTTATGTCCATATTCCCCACACGGTCTCACTCAATAGTCAATACCAAAAGTAACAAATTGAACTCTTTTTTTTTCTTTTACATATAGTCATACATAATTTGGTATAAATATAATCACCATTCAAATAAAATAGTAATTAATATATAAGTAAAACCAACCCCACTAGTTACTACTTACACCTAATTAAACATAATTTGATTTGTTGAACCCTCAAAAGGCACCGTCCTTTAATTTTTGGGCTCACTTAGCGTGTGTGACGCACATTATCCGCTATGAGGCGGCATCTTTGATCACCTCCCTTACCACATTTTCGGGTTGTTGACTAATGCCCACAACACAACTTTTTTTTCTTTTTTTTTTTTACCACAACAACACAACCTTCCCTTATACTTATACGGTTATACATGTTTGTTTAGTTGACACGTTTTTTACTCGTGTAAATTAATATATAAATTTAACCATTTCATAATAGTATTTTTAATTAATTACCAATAAGCAAAAATTGTAAAAAAATATAGTAATAATTTTTTAAAGTTTATCTTGAGAGAAATTTAACAAGACTTAAATGATTACATTTTTCATCACATATCTATTATAAAACACGGTCAAAGAAGAGTGTAAATAATGTTAAAGTTACGTTATGTCAACTAAAATGAATTGGAGAGAGTTTTTTTTTTCAATACTTTATTTAGTAATACTACAATTCCCTCCGTCACTATTCTATGGTTACATATTGACTTTGGTGATCGACGTTTAAAAACTTTGACTATAAAAATATATTATTATAAAGATCAGAATCATAACATGTTGGTTGTTATTGGACTCGTCTTCATTTTTTAGAATTTTTGCTCAATTTATATTGAACATATATGTGGTTACAGATGTGCATTATAGACCGTGAAGATCAAGGTGTACCATGGAAATATGAAATACTAAATTAAGCAATACCCCCATGCAATAGATGTATTAGTATGGTAATTTGATATCCAGCTGTTTCACCTCAATTTCATACAATTCAACGAAACTTCCAAGGCGCAACCTCGCCACTAGACTTGTACGTAGTCAACCAAACACTCGCTCTAACAACTTCACCAGCCGCCCCTCTTACTACTACACCTATAAATTCCCTACTCCTTAAACACTACTCGTCACTCAAACATCTTTCATTCATTCACTCCTTTTACCATCAAATATTAAGCAAGTTACAAAATTATTAAGTTATGGGTGTTGTTGCTCTTGTTAATGTTCTCGTAGTTGCCTCATTCGTTGCTACAACTTTGTGTGCTGGTAATTTTAACCAGGATTTCGACATCACTTTTGGTGATGGTCGTGCTAAAATCGTAAACAACGGCCAACTCCTTACACTTTCTCTTGATAAGGCCTCTGGCTCTGGATTCCGGTCTAAGAACGAGTACCTCTTTGGTAAAATCGATTTGAAAATCAAGCTCGTCCCTGGAAATTCTGCTGGAACTGTTACTACCTACTACGTAAGTTTCTTTCCATAGTCGTCCCTTTTGTAACAATTATAACTTCACCGTACCCTACGATTATTTATTGACATTGTGTATTTTTTTTATTTTTTTTTGTATATATTTACAGTTATCATCCGAAGGACCTAACCATGACGAGATAGACTTCGAGTTCTTGGGTAATGTCACCGGTCAACCTTACACTCTCCATACCAACGTTTTCGCTCAAGGGAAAGGTGGCCGGGAACAACAGTTCCGCCTTTGGTTTGATCCTACTGCCGACTTTCACACCTATTCCATTCTTTGGAACCCCCAAAGGATTATGTAAGTTCACAAAAACTACTTTTTTGTTACATAGTAACATACTAACACCACGTGACAATGTTATTTTTAAAGTTTTTTTCCCCTTTTTCTAACATTTTATATTACATTTAATTTCAGATTTACAGTGGATAATACACCTATTAGAGAATTCAGGAACTGGGAATCCATTGGAGTCCCATTCCCTAAGAACCAACCAATGAGGGTATACTCGAGTCTATGGGATGCCGAGGATTGGGCAACACAAGGTGGACGTGTTAAGACAGATTGGTCCAAGGCTCCATTTACAGCTTCCTACAGAAACTTCAATGCTAATGCTTGTGTTATGTCCAATGGTAAATCCTCTTGTAGTGGTTCGAACCGTGGTTCCTCTTCCTGGATGAACCAACAGCTCGATTCCTCGAGCCAGCAAAGGCTACGATGGGTGCAGAAGAATTACATGATTTACAACTACTGCACTGATATTCAAAGGTTTCCTCAAGGTCTTCCTAAAGAGTGTACTTCCACCAAATAAGTTGTTCTTAATACGTAGTTTGTAATTCTTTTTAAAAGTATAAATTATCTATTATGATTCGTTTTTGTAACAAATTTCATATGTAAAATTCATCAATATTCATTTATTAATGTAATGAAGCAGTTTTCAAATAGAAAATTAAATTATTATATCACAAGTGAATTTTGCAATTTTTAACTTTCCTAAATTTTTATTTCATTTTTCGCAGTTTTATATATAATTAAATGTTTGTACTTTAAAATTTATGTATTATTGTTGTTATATACTGGTACTAAGTATATAATCTCATTGGTTACTAACGACTAGATACCAAACCACTTTCAGTATTTAGGTATCTAACAAACTATTCAACGAACCTACATTAAAAATCGTATTGCATGTCTGGCAAAAAAAATTGGCCACGTACAAGACTAATCAAAGTTTTATCCCAAAATCAATTGTGAATAGCTACAATAATAGCACCAATGGAGTATAGTACAAGTTATTCTCAAATGTGCGTCAACTAATCACTTTTACATGTGACTGACGTGAGTCGTGCAATTTGAAGAGTTGAAGACTAGACTACTTCCACCTGAGGTCTCCTAACTAAGACAATAAATAAGATTAGGCAGCCAAATAAAACTCCAAATTATTGGCAACCTTAATTGACTTTGATACCAACTCATAATTTTCTCTAAGACTTACACGATAAGTCTCATTGAACCTTTAATCTAAAATCAATTGACAATTAAGTACGTAAAATCTTACGTTAAACTTTGTATAAACCTTCACGGGTAACTTATATGTTTTTTTTTCTTACCTTATATCCGATCCGTTTCTTAAGAAATGTGTTCAAAGAAACATGGATACAATGCATACACAACTACTTTGTGTTTCAATAAGTTGCTTGTTGAACAAAAAGTAAGATAAAGCAAGTTGTAAATTAACCAATTAGCCGTTCAAGGTTTATTTAACTTGATAAATTAAAGTGCAGCAAATGGCAAAACAAGTTGCTGCAATTAGCAGACATAAACAAGTACTGTAATCCATAATACGGCGCTATTTGGTTTAAGTGGAAGTAATTAAGCACTCAAAGTTACTTTTGGTAGGTCTTCCAGAACAATACTCGTATTTTAAATTGCCAACCTCTTTACAAATTTTTAATATACCAAATATAAACAAAGATTAGTTTGAAGGAGAGGATTCCTAGTTTGTGGTCCATAACCATTGTTTGACAAAGTCGAACCACTAATTTCTACTCGACTACTAATAGTATGACGACCTGTTTAGTAGGTGATAATAAAAATTTGTGTTAAAAATAATACTCATGTGTAACATTGTAATTTGTAACAAAGGTTGTATGAAATTTCATGATATGCAATCTTTTTCAATTATTCCATGAAGTACATATGTGTTTTCTCAATATTATTATTAATACTCATTACTCGGTCCTTAGAAGAATGATATTACCTTCGTTTTACATTTTTTGCAACTTTGAAATATTTTATATCTCACAAATAATAACCCAAAGTTGCAAAAAATATGAAACGGAGGTAGTATTTTTTTTATTTTGACAACTAGAAGAATGATACTAAGTGGTAATGAAAATTTATGAAAAATTGCTCATACTTAGAGGTGGAGAAGCATGATAATAATAATCAATAATATCATCAATATCATTCTCTTGGGAAATACAAATTCATCATAATTTCAGCTCCTATTTCATTCAATTTCAAAAGCCATTATAATATTAGTGCTTCATGAAAAGAAAACAGCTGTTTCACCATCATAATTTAAACCTTCCTAACCATAATCCTAATCCATATCCATATCCATAGTACTGTAGTGAAGTAGTAATTAACAAGTCATTATCAAACTACCAACTTCACCAGTCATCCTGATCATTACTTGTCTCATGCATACTACAAATCCATCATACAGGTATCTAATTATTATAGTTAATTAAAATATCACTTGACATATTAGCTCTCTATGGCTGCTGCTTCTACTAATTATTATAGTTAATAAAACTTTGACTGCAGCAGCTTCTAGAGCCATTGTTTGATTGGTTAATGGAGAGTCAGTTGCGCCACATAAAATATACAACGGTTTCATAAGATATTTAATTTCTTATTGTCACTGACAATTTCTTCCAAAAGTTCGACCTCACTTGGCATGATGGTCATGCCTTAGACTCTAAATAGTAGCCATTTTCTCCACTCCCCCTTAACAAGGACTCCGGCTACGGTTACCAATCTAAGGACTAATTACTTTAAGTAAAGATTGACATTCAATTATTCAAATCAAGCTTGTCCCAGTGAACAATCAATCTCTGGTTCGACCCTACTCCTGAATTCCAAACCTATTCTGCTCTTCGGAATCCTCAAAAATTTAATTCATGTAACCAATATACTTGGTATACAATTCATAATCACACATCACACAATACAGCCTTATTCGTAGTATGAATTACAAAGACAAGAAAGTCAGGTGTCATGAAATGGGAATACATTATATATGACCATAATTGTTTAGGATTCTTGCCTTGCTGTTGGACTGTTCTCTTTGGGTAAGGGAATTTGTTAGATTCCGAGTTCTTACTCTGACGGGTGATGTGGTATACCAATCAGAGTAAGAACTCGGAATCTAACAGACTCCCTTTCCCAAAAAGCCAGCCAACGAGGATATACTCAATCCTCTAGGATGCCGATGACTGAGCACGAAGACAGATGGACCAAGACAGACTGGATGTGTTCGGTCCAATGCACGTGTTCGGTCCAACGACAGATCTATAGGCCCATGGGCCTGGCTCAACATCTGCCTTGATGAATCAACAGCTCGATACCACAAGTCAGCAGAAAGGCTGCCACAGGTGAAGGAAATTTTTCATGATTTGCAGTTACTGCACCAATACACATTCTCTCAGAATCTTCCTAAGGATTGACAGTTACCAATTACAGTTCTGAGCTTTTTGAGATACTTTGTGTGCTTAGCTAGTGTAATTTTTCCTATATGTATTCGTTTTTGTACTAAACATCACATACATAAGAAATAAGCATGTATAATTGTAATGTTTTGTATTCATACTGTATTAATACAACTTCTGCCAGAACAAATAGTCATCCTGAAGTCCTAGCAAGCTGAAAGAGTGAAAGACTAATATCGTACACAATCCAAATTAACACAAAATACTCCACCAGTCCACCACGGCATGTTTAGCTTAATTGGGTTTTGAAAGAAATCATAATGAAATGTGCATCCCTTGTTCATCTGAAAGCCTACCAGGCCACAGATTGAACAGGGATCTTCAAGCTCGCGTTCAGACAGGGAAAAGTCAAAAAACGCAATCCTGATACTTGATGCAGACACTACAATAGTAACACAGAATCAAGAAAGTACGCGTGTGGAGCAACATTAGCCAAGTTCCTAATCAATATCTTACTATTTTAACATTTTTTGCAATTGCATCATTGTATACTTTTACTCTTTTAGTATGTATACTTTAATACTTCGTATAATTTTTTACTTTTGTTTAAAATTCAAAAAATAAATATGACCCCCTAGAATAGTAGACTATACACTTATTAAAGTTTAAAATTGACATTGATAAATTCATCGAAGAAGATTTGAAGGTAGCAACAATATTATATGAGTGATGATGGTGCACTAATTACACTAACACTAAAGACACTGAGATGCGACATGAGTGGAGGATTAATCGTCATTTTTTTTTTTTTTTTTATTTCTTAATTATTACTATGACATTTAATTTCTAATCACTAAAATTTAAAAAGGATCATGCTACTACAACCACCAACAAAACTAAAACAAATGAACCTTAAAATGCACCATAATAGTAATGCCTTTCACACAATCAACAGTTGATGGAAAAAATGCCAACAATCATTCATTCGCGACTAGCGGCTACCACACAATTTTCTATATTGAAACCTACATATGAAGTCGTATTGGAGAAAGGCTTGAACACATACACAACTACTCAAAGTTCTATTCTAAAACCAATTAAAGCGGCTTCAAGTTATTCTCCTTCTTCCATGTGCGACAACACGCGTGTGGATTTACTCTGACCACTTTTCTCACATGTGACTGAAGTGAGTCATTACATACTTGCAATTTGAAGAGTTCAGATATAGACTTCCTTCAACCTGAGGTCTTAATGTAAGCCAATAGTATTAGGCAGCCAAACAATTCTTCAAATCCTTTTCCTTTTGCTAACCAATGGGCAATTTCTCTCCTTAGGACAACAGATCATTAGTGGCTTTGAAACCATTTTTTAATCTTCAATTGGCCTACACATACAACTATAGTTCCATTCGAGCTTTAACCTAAAACCAATTGGCAATAAGAGAAATCCCACACTAACAACAGCTAATACGCCATACTCTATCTCAACTTATTCAATTTGCTAACTGAAGTCAGATGTGGTTTCATTAATTCAACCTCCAAGGGCAGCTTACATGTTTTTCTCCAGCGACCAATCTGACTGCTAGCGGACAAGATAACCTTTGTCGCATCAACGCATCCTACACTTACCTTCTTCCCATACCTTAAAAAATTAGTACAAGTAAACATAAAAGCCACGCATACACAACTGTGTTTCAATTGATTGTTAGAACACAACTTTAGATTAAGGGTCAATATTAGTCAGATTAGGATTTCAATTGTAAATGTAAAATATATCTTCATATGAAATGTATTAAGCAACATGTAAGTAGGACAGAGAAGCAGCATGATATAGCAAGTGGTTAACAATTTTACTAGAAGTTAGTGGTTGTACATTAACCAATAGAAGTTCAAGGTTTATTTTACTCATTTAAATTTAAGTGCAGCAAATTAACATATTGAGTAGTTCTAATCAAATAAATTAACAGACATAAACAATTAATCCATAATAAGGGGCTCTTTGGTTAAAGTGGAAGGAATTAAGAATACTATTCGTAGTTCTAACCACCAAAAAGTTACTTTCAGATCACTAATCAAATTGCCAACCTCTTTCGCTCTTAGCAAAAAAGTTAATGTATCAAACAAAATGGAGGATCTTTGTCCGTTGTTTGACAAAGTTAAAGCACTAATCTCTACTCTCCAACAGCCTGTTTAGAAGATTGATAATAAACGATGGTAAAGATGATAAACTTGCATGTAATTTTGCAAGAGAAGTTGTATGTTAATGTCCTTATTATATGCAATCCCTTCCTCAATATGTTTTTTTACTACATCCTATAAATCTTCATTACTACTCGTTACCCCTTAGAAAAATAAAAGAAAGTGGTAATGAAATTTATGAAAGAAATACATACTTAAGAGGTGGAGAACATTATCATAGGATTTTTCTTGTAAAATTAAATATAAATTCATTATGATTGCCGCCTACCAATAGAGCATTTAAAGGCTTAAGCTCAAACCATACAGCACTAGCAAGAATACACTAGTTAGCTTTAGTATTAAAAATATACTACCAATGGGTTTGTAACAAGCTTCTTCCTCAATAGACACCGTCCTTTTCACCTTGGGTTCACTAGCTATGTGCATTAACAGAATATCCACCAGGGTGCCACCTGGCAGCAACTTTTTCAACTCCGTTGCATCAAGAAGACAATTTGACTGATGACCACCACAACCTCTCCTTTTTTTATCTATTTCATAAGTTACAGTAGCATTAGTGCTTCATAAAGATAACAGCTGTTTCATCTTTATAATTTCAACCTTACTAACTATAATCCCAATACCTATCAGTAATAGTAGTAATTAACAAGTCATTGTCTTTCTACCAACTTCACCAGCCGCCCTAATCATCGTTCGCAATCTCCTGCATATAAATATCCTTGCTCCATGCACACCACAAACCCATCAAGCAAGTATCTTCATCTAATAAATATATTGCTTACTATCATTAGCTCACTATGGCTGCCGCTACTGCTATTTTTCTCATCAAAGTCCTCATGTTTGCATATTTAACTGCAGCAGCTTCTACTGCTAGCAATTTCTACCAGAACTTTGACCTCACTTGGGGTGATGGTCGTGCCAAAATTCTAAATAATGGCCAGCTCCTCAAGCTCTCCCTTGACAAAGCCTCTGGCTCTGGTTTCCAATCAAAGAACCAATATCTCTTTGGGAAGATTGACATGAAAATCAAGCTTGTCCCAGGGAACTCTGCTGGCACTGTGACTGCCTATTACGTAAGTCTCACTCATGTCATTCATCATCCCTTGATAAAATGATTACCATCCTATATTACAATGAAATTATTATTGCCCTGCCAGTGCTTGACCACTGAAGTTATTCAACTGGGCTGCTAGTTACGAATTAACCCACATGACCACATCCCGTGTACCTGAATTGGCCCAGTAGCCACCTCTACCCCCACAATCTATCAAATTCGTTGACGTTCTTCTATTTGTATTTTTACAGTTATCTTCCCAAGGACTTACCCATGATGAGGTAGACTTCGAATTTCTAGGTAACGTCACCGGTCAGCCTTACACACTCCACACAAACGTTTTCACTCAAAGGAAAGGTGGTCGAGAGCAACAATTCCGCCTCTGGTTTGACCCAACTACCGACTTTCACACCTATTCCGTTCTCTGGAATCCCCGAAGAATCATGTAAGTCATCAATCTATTTAATTTATTTACACGTAAAATACCTAGGACTATCTGTAGTAATGAAATGTAAGGACGCATAAATAAGATGTCATGAAATGGGAAGGGGTATATACTAAAGAATCATAATAGTTTAGGATGCTTACCTTGCTATTGTTTGGCCTCAGATTTTCTGTGGATGGTACACCCATCAGAGAATTTAAGAACATGGAATCTATTGGAGTCCCGTTCCCAAAGAGCCAGGCCATGAGGATATACTCAAGCCTCTGGGATGCCGAAGACTGGGCAACACAAGGTGGCCGGATCAAGACAGACTGGACCAAGGCTCCGTTTACAGCTTCTTACAGAAACTTCTATGCCAATGCATGTGTTTGGTCCAACGGCAGATCTTCATGTCATGGATCCGGCTCAAAATTTGCTTGGATGAACCAACAGTTAGATACCACAGGTCAGCAGAGGCTGCAATGGGTGCAGAAAAACTTCAGGATTTACAATTACTGCACTGATACACAAAGGTTCCCTCAGGGTCTTCCCAAGGAATGCACAGTTACCAATTAAAGTTCTAAGCTATGTAAAATACTCCATACTCTGCGCATTTAGCTAGTGTAATTTTTTCTGTGTATTTGTTTTTTGTACAATATGTCTCACACATAAGAAATAGGTTTTTATACTTCGCAATATTTTGTATACATACAGTAATGAACCTTGTAACAGCTCTCAAGCTCTGTATAAGTAATTAGATTATTTTCGTGCAACAAAGTATCTCAAATGTCAGAATTTGTAAGAACCAAAAACTCAAAAAGTAACTTGCTGTCTGCATATTAGTGGGAAAAAAATCACCTTTTTGCAAGTATATGATACCGAAAAAAAAAAAAAAAGGAAAAGCACAGCTTATGGGAACTTACAAATTTACAATACTCGTACAACGTTGCTGGAGCAGTAAATAGTCATCCAGAATGCGAGAGTTGATTGGCTGTTCAATGAAGATTTCTCCCAGAATTATTGAACTCATGCAAGCTGACAGGCTAATACTATATGTGAGCCAAATAAACTGAAATGAATTAGATTCACCACCAATCCACCACAATAAGCTTGACAATCAAGAACTGCTTTTTTTTTATTCAAACTCCGAATCGGCCAAAAAATAGAAGTTTGGTGTTATTACAATTTATACTGATGGTATTAATATTTTTTGAGCACCATATACAAGCAGAAAGAATGATACAAAGATGTACAAGAAAATGAAAATTCAGGATGATACAGGAAAACTTCCTGCATATTAATCATATAACCATACATGGATACCATTACTGATAGCAATGCAGTACTTGTAATGTATTTTGTGCGTTGACACCTTGGACATGCAGAATTACAGACCATTGCGGAAATCAACAAGCTTAATTGGGTTTTGTAGCAGATATCATAACGAACAGCCCATTCCGTGTGCACCTAAAGTCCACTAGGCCACAGGTTGTGCAGAGATCTTCAAGCTCGTGTTCAGAGAGGAAAACACGTGATCCTGATATTTGCTGCAGATACTACAATAATACCACATAATTTATGAAAGTATGAGAATGGACCAATATTAGCCAAATTTATAAAAAGTAAGGAATATTAGTAGCTGAGTAGGATTAATTCTGGAATTTATCACTGTAAAGATAAAGTCATTTACCTCCCGAAAATTGCTTCTAAAAGGCACCAGCGTAAAAAGGCCATCTGCTATGGTAGTTGTTGCAACAAATACACCCCCAGGTCTTAATATTCGACTTATTTCAGCAACCTAGACATTAGTTAATACCAAAAGAGTGATAATTTGATTGTAAGTAAATGCATTAAGAGACTAATTGTCTGTATAAGTTACAAATTGCTTATCCATCAATGCATGGTACAATCTAAGCAAAGACAAGAAAACAGACGCAAGTTGCAGAAGCTGGTGATATTACTCCACATGCATCACCTTATATTTTTACAAAAGAGTTGAAAAAAAAAATGAAATATGGGACAAGTTTAATGGACCACACTCTCCTGGAGAAGAAAATGAAGGAAACAGATAGAAGAAATAGCTAAAATGACTTGATGCAATCTTCCCTTTATAACACTTGCTGAATATTAGCAGCGGTGTAAGATATTAAGCAACACGAGTCAAATCAAATGAGTTCAGATCCCCGTGTACAGCATGTTTCTCCAGTAAGTATCCTAGCACCATAAAGGATAAACTAGGAAGACCTGTAATTGATTTACAGAGCTCAAAGGCCAAGTATATAATTATAAACGGTATATATAAAGAATATAGCCTTTAAAAAAACTAAGCTACATTAAGAAATTCAAGCTATCTCAACATCAGAATAGAGTTTGAAAGTAACAATGATGTATTACAGAGGATATCTGAACTGCTATCTCAACATCAGAATAGAGTTTGAAGGATTACAATGATGATATAACAAAGGATCTCTGATCATTTATATGTTCATCACAAACTCCTGAATATGATTTATGTAATGTTTTTACTGCTGTCAAGTAATGTACTATATCAAATAAATGCAATGATGGTATCTAAGTCTGTGTACCATAAACCAAAACGTGCAGAATAAAAGAAAAATTATAATAAATAAATAAAAACACAATTACATAACAAGTCGTATGGTAAGCTGTTACATGCAGGATAAAGATCATCAGTTACAAAAAAAAAAAAAAAAAAAAAAAAAAAAAACACACACACACACACACTTACAGCAGAGGAAGGTGAGGGCCAACAATGTAATGCAGCACCAGCATGCACAGCATCGATGGAGCCAGAAACAAATGGAAGCCTTGAGATATCAGCTCTCACCAAAATTAACTTCCTGTTGAGAAACGGGATTATGAATCAGAACGTGTCAAAATAAGTCGTCAAAAGAATTTGCTATAAAATTTGAATTTCAACTGATCTCAAATATGGGAAATCCTACTCTTTGGGGAAGCCAGGGTCCTCTTTACAAATTCATAGCATTGCTGTAACATTGCTTCTGAATAGTCAAGAGCAACAACACGAGAAAACAGTCCACTCTTAGCAAAAAGCCTTGAAAACAATCCACTTCCACAGCTAGCATCAACAATGTTTCCACCAAAAACAGGTTTAAAGTATTCTTTGGCCATTTCAAACTGCAATCAAGAACAATATACTGAATCCATAAATAAGGCATTCATAATGCTTTCACCAAGAGTATCACAGACTACTTTCTAGAGAAAAGAAATAAATAAGACACAATGACATGGCAAGTGCTGCCCATATCAAAAACTTGCAAAACTAGATTATGATGGATGGAAAAAAAAAATACATCTAGTTGTGTGAGATGAAGACAAAGAACGGAATAAAAACAGAAAATTGATAAGATCACCTCTCTATCAGGGCCGGGGTAACCACCAAGCCCAAAATTTTGGCGCCAGCCTCTCTCATACAGAAATGACATCGCAGGAGTGCTGTACAAAGAAACAATTCATTTTAAATGATGCCTGCATCTAAATAAACCTCAAAGTTGTACTAAGCAAAATTTCAAATTTTTTAACATTCGCAGCACCTGAAAAACTCTGTCACTAAAGGCATTGATTCAACATAGTCCTTGGCCCCGCTTGATGCAGTGAGATTAAAAATGGGTCCATTTGCATAGTAAGTCTTCTTACTGGTGTTAGAATATAGGGTAGTGCCTTGAGCAGTGTCTCTGCAATATATTTAACTCATCTAAGTGAATTATAATTTTGCTCAAAGTACACCAGACCATGGTCTTCAGAGATAGGGTTACATTGCTATAATTAGCAAGAAAATAACTTACACTGATAAAGTAGAATCACCACTCCATGTTAAGGGTTCAAAACAGATTGGGCAACCTAAAATACTTTCGTTAGTATCAAATTTCTGGTCAGTTGTGACAAGTTCCTGAAAGTAATCCACAAAAGAGAAAGGCACAATTAAAAGGAGAATCATAATTCACAACTCCCATAAAGGGCAGGCATTTTTAGAAATTAATCAAACAAATCTTAAAATCTACACTACGAATGTGTAAGTGTAATTTAATTTCTGAACTCCAACTTCAATCACCAATCCTATATAAACCCATGTTGAAGGAGAGCTTGACCACATATAAGCCTAGCATGGCTCCATCCAAAAAACCAATCAATGATAGGTAAGTAACCACTCATTATCATATGTTGGTAATTAAGCCTCTATTTGTTTATTAGATTGCTAAACACCGCCATCAAAAAAGATCACCACCGCCCACATTTGGTGTGAATGGACAACCATAACCTTACTATTTCACCACCCCTTATCCTCCCCGACGGCCCCACCACTCTGACTGGCGACCCACCACATCCACCCTGACTGGCTGGTGGTGGTAGTCGTCGGTAAGTGTGGTGGTGGTCGGCGTCAATCAGGGTGGTGGTGTCAAGGTGTTAGTGATTGGTGGCAAGAGGGAAGATAGTGGTGAAGTACAAAGGGCATGGTTGTCCATTCACACTAAATGTTGGCGGTTTTGATCACTTTTTTTATGGCGTTATATAACACCCCCCGATGCGGGAAAATTGGTCCCATCTCACACATAAGTTATTTTCCAAGAACTTAACTATTAGGGAGTAGCTAAATTATTTTCCATATCAAAAATCAGTCCTATAACATTAATAAGGATGGGAAAATATATGAGTATTAGGGAGTAGCTTATTCATGTTTACAAAAAATACATCTAATTGTGTCGAAGTACAAATTTCAGTCCTATAACATTAATTAGGATGGAAAAAAAACTTCCTTGCCACTCCCTCCCTCTTTAAAGATATGTTATTGGAAAAGCCTTCATAAAGACAAATACTAATTGTGGCTCATTTGAAGTCTAGAGTCAAATTTTAATCACTACTCTTTCGCTTTATTTAATTAACACACTTTCCCTAAACCTTATATTGTTTAATTAATGACACTTTATTTTTTGGAAACATTCTTATATAGTATCTCTCTTTTGTTCCCATTACGGCACTACTACATTTTAAATTATTTCTCCACTCATGGTTCTCACTCCTACTTTGCATGGTGCACCTGGTTGTATATAACAGTTTTCATACTTTACTCCGTACATATAAATTTCCCATCTCACATCCTAATACTCGTATCTAATTCTCCAACAAACCACCCTACCTATACGAGGGAGTATCCACTACTAACCATTCGTTTTAAGCTTCCCAAATTAAATACGACTAATTCTACGTTTTCTTCACCTTATTTCCACCAATTTCTGGTAAAATAAGTCCAAATTAGAGTTCACAAATTCAAAAAAAAAAAAAAAAAATTATGATAAATAAATAAAAAAAAAAAAAAAAAAAAAAAGGCTACCCATTTCAATTTACAAGTAAAAAATTTCAGCAATTAACTAGAAACAGTACATTATTTTCTTTTAATCAACAATACCCAATACAACTGTATACTCCATTTGAAAAATAGTCAAACTAAGAATTTATTTATTTTTTTATTTTTTTATACAGTTTTTAGAATTACAAATATTCACTCTGATAATCAAACATAACCTAATTTACACACTCGAAACTTTTTTTTTTTTAACAATTCACACTCAAAACGACAGATATTAAGCAAAAATATTCAAAAAAATACGGTTATAATTAACAAAAATCATCCAGAAATTGAGCTGAAAATTAAATTAATAGAGAAATATGAGAGATTCATACCGGCGTCGTTTCGATAACAGCAGCAGAAGAAGCTTGAAGCTTCAGCGTCGAGAATCTCGGGAAAGTTGACCAGACGGGTGAATTGGAGGTAAAATTGACGGAATTGAGATAATTAC